ATGGGTCCCATTTTGGGGGTCCTTTTTTTGCCCCCCCCCCCAAAAAAAAAAAAAAAAAAGAAGGAAAAAAGAAAAAGTGTTTTTCCTTTACAAGCGCAAACAAGCATACCCTCCCAAAAAGCGCCACGCCCATGTGATTTGATCCCCAGCACTCGCAACGAAGGCCGCAATTGCCGCATTCGCCGGCCGAATTCGCCGGCCTTCCCCACGTAGGGCGCCACCGTGGTGAAGGGGTAGGGCGCGATCTTCGGGCACGCCCGGCTCACCGCCCCCAGCAGCGTGCTCTTGCCCGCGTTGGGCATGCCTCGCATGGGAAAAAGCTGTGCGAGAGATGCAAAAAACGAGACCTGGAGTCTGACCAAAAAGTGGTCGGTGCGAGAGATGCAGGGAATGAGAGCTCTGGAACGACCCCAAGATGAACCATCCAGCTGGTGGTTTCCTTTGAGGGAATCCCTGGGTTCATTCCCACAGTGCCTACTGAGCACCAGCAAGAAAAGTGGGGAACAATTGGCTTCACCAAAAATCAGGAACCAATGTCAATCTGCAGATGTCTGTCCTGCGTGACACGATTGGTCCTCCGGGCTAGGATTGAAAATCACTCCAAAATAGTGAACATAGGGTCAACCAACCTCCCAAACAGTTGAACAGCATGGCCAAAACTTGGGCCCTTAGCTTCAACTCCCATTAACACAATAGGTTGACCCAATTCATATGACGCAGAAAACAACAATGACGGTTCCATCAACCCCAATCGTTTCACTGGCTTCTATTCAGTGGTGGCTCCCAAAAAATGCGGCTCTTCCAAAAATGGCCCTGAAGTGGAAAAAGACCCAAACAACTGAGCCACGCCACCCCATTTCCCCCCCCCCCCTTATTACCCCACCCGCTGCTCCAGCTCGCCCGGTGCTCGGGGCCCAGGCCGATTAGGCCGACGTCCGCCACGGTCTTCAGCTCAAGCTCGATACGCCGGTCCTGCGCCGGCAGTCAGGCCAGCCAAGGCTTCATCATGGCGCCGGGGGGGGGGGGAGTGTTGGGGTCCCACTGAAAAAATCCAAATTTTGGGAGAAAGACCTGGGTGCCAGAGTATGTTTAGTTGAAAATGACTGGAAGGGGAATCCGTTCGCAGAGCTTCCCTGGCATGGATTGTGCTTGTCTCTGGGATGTAAGCCATGGTCGAAACTGGGCCATTTGGCTCCCTTGACTGGTACACATGAGCGCAGACCTATATTCGTGATAGTCTCCCTAACGACTCCGATTCCTGATACTTTGGTGCTGATACTTTGGTGCCGTTCCCTTCGCTGCGCTAAATGGACACTTTGTCGGGCTCCCAACATAAAGACAGGATCCTTACGTGAACTGGCAAAATCAAACCAGCGGTTGTCCAACTGCTCTGAACCTGCAACCTCCCCGGCAAGGTCCACGATGTGCGCTGCCTTTGTGCCACAGCCTCTGCTCACCCTTGCCCAGGTTTCAAGAGCACGCTGCGAGGGCTGTAAGAGTTCAGTTGGGCTGTGTCTTTTCTTTACATCTAAAGGTGCAGCAGGGAAATCAAGGTTGGTGACCTACAACTTGTTCCTCGAACACACATGTTCTTGACCACTTGCCACTTTTGGGGTGGTTTTTGACACCCAAGAAACCCGCCCACTAAAACCGCCCCAGTTGGATCTCGCTCCTGGCCCGGCAAGCCCAGGAAGGCCTCGTGAACCCGCGCCATGTTGTTACCTCGGCCGTGGGAGAGTGGTTGTTCCCTATTTGAGGGTAACAAATTAGTGAGTATGGGTGAGTATTTGTTCTCTACTTGAGTATTTGTGAGTATTTGTTCTCTGTTTATTTGAGCCTGATCTCCCCCCCCAATAAATCAGCTGCGCCCACAGAGGCCCCGTGCGAACTTGAGTGGAGTGGAGTGGTAAAAGTTATGGATTTTCTGGATTATTTGGTTAGGAAACTCCATAGTCTTCATTTCTTAAAGATTGACTTCGCTATTTGAGGGTGAAAATCCTTGGGAGACAGGCTTTACTTTTGGACACACAAGGCATGGCATTGTTCCCTATACCCTCTTTGACTTACAAGAAAAGAAGGAAGAAAAAAACACAATGCGCATGGTTGATGCTTAGGGTTCATGTAGCACCAAGGGTGGCCTGCCACAAACATCTCGTCATCTAAAAAAAGAGGGACCCCGCTTTCAGGGGTGCAGAATTTTCAGTAAACGTGTGTTGCAGATTTTACCCTAGAAAAGGCAAGAAAAAAGGGGAGGGGGGGGTGGCCGGCGTCCACGCTCAGAAAGATTGTTGTTTGAGATGCTTCTTCCACAGACAATTCCCCACGAATATCGGAGTGCGAAATCGAAGCGCAAAGCAACCAGGGGATATTGCAAAAAAAAAAAAGCAGACCCCTTCCAAATGGCCAGTTTGGTAGCAGAAATTTTGACACATACCCACCACACTGAAGTCCAGTGCTTCGAGTTGAACCGCTTTTCAACCCTGATCAGTCATTTGCCTCCGAAAGGTGCTGTTTCTGACGGTGACCAACACGACCTGGCATCGCAATAAGGTTTATATACTCCTTTTCAGTGACACCAAAACTGGGCTGCCCTCAGATCCCCCTCTAAAAGTTTAACTTTTGGTGGATTGAATGGACATCCCCACTAAACACCAAAAGGCTAAAAAGCCAAGGAACCGGATGGCTGGGAGCCGCCAAGAAAAAGCAGGCCCGTTTTTTTTTGCCGAGCGTCCCATGCCGCCCTTGCCCCCCAGGGCAACCGTCACCGACTGCCCGGGCTGATCCAAGTCCGCCAGCAGCGCCCCGCGGCGCTTCTGCCGGGAATCCTCGGGGTCCACGAGGAGCTCACGCACGAAGACCCCCCGCGGCACCGAGATCACGCACTGCCGGCCTGTGGCTGAGGCTCAGACGGTTTTTGAGGGGTGAGAGATGCCAACGCGAGAACTCGGAATATGATGGCATGGCAAACTTCCATTTGCGTGAGCTTCCTTTTTTTTAATGTCCAGCAGTGATAGATTCCCTTTAAAAACCAACAGGGGAAAATTAAACACATTCTTAAGCAAATGGAAGCAAAAGTGCGGTGCTGGAAGGGGAAACAAAGCACAGCTCAGCGGTGCAAGGGTTTTTTTGTTTGGAACTCGGATGCAACTGCTTCAACTGATGAGCTGCCTTCGGCCCTGCTCTGCCAAGGAATTGTGTAAGTGTGAGGGGCGCATGATCCGATGTGCAGAAAACTCCAAAGCTACAAACACTCCTCTTCTCCTTGGCAGCTGCACCATGCCTAAGTCCTCAAGTTGCACCCAAAACCTCCTTGTGCCCAGACTAATTGAGCAAACGCACCCCTCGCACTGCCTTTCCCCCCCAAAAAAAGAAACTAAAAAATGGTCAAGCAGCAGGCAAGAACAAGAAAAGGGTGCGTCTGTGTTTAGGGGATCCCCACCCCCCACCCCCCAAAAAAGAAGCTCTTTATTTTTGGTTTGCCTTTAAACCCACCACAAAAACGCATATACCCTCAAAAAAGAGCGCCCCCCCCCCCAAAAAAAAAAAAAAAAACGGAAAGAAGCTTGATTGTTGGTTTGCCTTTAAAGCCACAGAAAAAAGAAGCAAGACAGACCCACAAAGATCCCGGGGCCCGGGCCGCTCTCCCCGTTGAGGTTCCCCCTCCGCCCGGTCATCCCGTTGGGCGCTTGCACGTGTCCGTTCACGTGCGCCAGGCTCCAAAGGTCCGGAGTTGCCTGGCCAGGCACTTGGCTTGTAGCTGGTTTGGAGCTGTCAGGGGGTGGTCTTCTCACCCCCTACAAAGGATGGAGGTGGCCGGTTTGGAGCTGTGAAGGGGTGGTCCCCTCACTTACCCTCTACAAAGGATGGAGGTTCAAATCCAGGTCCAAACCACCAATCGTCAGCTTCCAGGTTTAGGAGGGGATCTATTTGGCATTTGCTTCTACCCGGCACAAAAGGTGGAGCCTGGTTTGGAGCTGTGAAGGGGTGGTCCCCCCCTTACCCCCTACAAAGGCCAGGGCTTCAAATCCAAACCAATCCAACCCACCAACTCAGGGTTTGCCTGACCCACTGGGAGTCGCCTCGAATACCCTCCCAACAACAAGCATGGAACCTGAAGGCGACCTTGAATACAATTGTCCTGTAGCAGGAACCCGCTGTCAGCCTACAGGTTTGTCTTAGGAGGGGATCTATTTGGCATTTGCTTCTGTCATCCCAGGTCATCCCAAACCAGCCCACACAAAGGGTGCTTTGCAAATCTCCAAGCGTCGATTGCACACATGCGGGGGGTTGTTGGCGGACTTCCCTTGATAGTGGTCCAGACAGCTTGGGTTGAGTCAAAACAAGCATTCGGACTCCCCAACTGCTGGCTGTCCTTGCAGGTTCCCTTTAAACCAACCCAAATGACAGGTACCTCGACAAAGCACACACCCGTTGGATGACTTTCTGAAAAGCCCGGACAAAGGCGGCGTCCAAAATGGCCAAGTCGTATCCTGTAAGGAATCCGTTGGGCAATTTGTCTTAAACGACTAGAAGAATCACCCATGTCCTTCTCCATGTCGGTCAAAACACAGCCGAACAAAATGGGAATGCATCAAACATAGGGTGTGCCATTCACAAATGGCTTCCCAAACAAAGGAACCCGGAGGAACCCTAAACCTCTCAACTACCCCCCTTGTATCCACCCGGAGGAGATTCCATAAAGCCACTTCCTATGAATCACTGGAAGTGACTGTCAGAGCCCATCTTCCAGCCTGTGGTGACTCGGAAAACTTGACGAAAGGGTATAACACCTACAGGGGAAATGGTCATTTGGGAGTAACCCAAAGTTCCAGTCTGGAGCCCCCCAAGTCAAGGGGTCTTTTCACCCAATCTTGGACACGCCTGGAACAAAAACCATTATTGTTACTAGGTGTCTCAGAATAGGGGTCCCCTAACATGGTCGGCTTCCTTTGGGTCTCCTTGAAAAAACTAGCCAGAAGGGCTCCATTCTGAGAAACTCGTAGGTGTCCATCCAGTTGTCCCAGCGGTCCACTTGCCTTTCCTAACAAAGCAACATGCCCGCTCGCAAAAGAAGAAGAAAGCAACATCCACATTATACATATATATATATATATATATACATGTATATCTAATAAATATCTATTGCCATTATAAGTATGATCATAATAATATTGATAATAATAACAATAATAATGATGATAATAATAATCGTAATAGTCGTAATCATAATCATAAGAATCATATCCTCGGCGTACAACTCGAGTGCCAGGCCTTCACCACCACGTCTCCTCCTCGACCTCATGGAGCGAGAGACCAACATCTGGATGTAACGCCACGTGGCCGGAAAAAAAAAAAAAAAAAAAAAAAAAAAAAACGGAGGGGCTTCCCCGTCCGGATCTTTGAAGCAAACTGGGTCCAAGATTGCTTTCTTGGGATGGACATCGCCAGAGGCTCTCTTGATGGAAAAAAACATGGTACGGGAACAAGCCTCTCAAACTCCATCTGTTGGTACCCACTTTTTGCCACTTGAGTCGGATACCCCCAGTCTCCAAGACCCAAATGGAGACATGGGCTTCAAGGTGTTAGGCCTACTCCGCCCTCTTTCATACCGTGCAGTCTAAATGACGGATACATCCCAGCCCCTTCTCCACAATTAACACCCCTCCCATCTCCCAGTTTTCCATGGTTCAATCCACCGGGATGGTTTTTCCTTTTGATTCTCTCTTAAAACCACCAATGGGGGGTTCCAAAAAAGACATTTTTCCTTTTGATTGTCTTTTAAAAACGGCCCTGGGGGGGGTCCAAAAAAAAAACATCCTGCGGCCACTTGGATTGCAGCCCTTCATCCAAGCCACCGCCGCTGCCGCCGCAGGGCCAACCCGGGCCGATCCTCGCAAGTGCCGCGTCACCCAACGGAATGGACCCACTGACGTCAAATTAAGAATTTCTCAAAATGGTGGACCTCTTTTAGCTGGTTTCAAAGGAAAACTAGAAGGAAAATGTCTCCTATTTTGAAGAAACTCCCAATTCATGTCGTGAACCCATGAATTTAGAGAGTTGACCCGACAGAAAGTGGACAAGATCATGGAAAAGGGCCGGGGTTGTCTGTTGAAGATACTGGCAGGCTTTCACAACCTGTTGCAAAGAGGATAGCTCCCCAACGGGATTTTCACTGGTGCAACCGTTGGATTGGCTTCATCCTACCAGCTGGGAGGTCGTGGTTTGCTGTGTGCTGGTCTTTTTTCACACATCACAACAGCAATAGAATGAACAAATCCTCGTTTCTAGGGAAACAACGGAAAGTAAATCGGGGCTTTACATGTTCTGCTTATCTCGTGTTGTGACTTACCCTTTTAGAGCAGAAGAATCGAGGCAGCACCCAAATTTGAAACATCCTACCTACGGCTGAAAAGGACAAACCAGATTGAAGTGCTGACCCGTGGACGCCCGCTGCTGTCTCTAGGGCTTCCGCCATAACAGGGAATCCTTCTGCTGGTACCAAAATAATAAGGAGACCCTCGCTTGAATCCCTCGCTGCATGAGAGGGAAAGGACCCTTTGCCAAACCCTGAAAGGGCACTGAGGGCGGTCAACTGGCTCGACTGGCGAGAGAGATATGAGGGCATTGCTGCCATAAAATGGTTGGTCTCTCTTTTGATTTACCTTGAAATACCAAGCAAAAGGGGTCGAACCATTTGGGTGTGTCTTAAAATAGGGGCCCCCAAAAATGAATGTCGGCTTTCCCTTTAGTTTGCCTTTAAAAAAACCCGTTTCCATCCCCCCCCCCTTTGTTTCCTTTAAAACCACTGAAACATTCTACCCGCCAAAAGATGAGACCCCCCCCATTCTGACAGTTACACACAAACGCTTGCAGCGGCGCAGACGAGATCGACCCCCCACTTTGGTTTCTCCGACCAACCCCAAAAATCCTACCTACAAAACGATGAGACACAACTACCCCCCATTTTGAGGCATACACCAAAATCCGACCTACAAAAAGATGTAGTTAACCACCCCCATTTTGAGACCAACCCCAAAACACGGGTATCTGCCACCCCCATTTTGAGACATGATCGTTCTCGGCCGGGCCGCATCTTGTGCTTGGTGTGCTTCTTGTACGCCAGGCCGCCGCTGCCCCCGTGGCCCGCGATGACCCGCACCTCCCGGCGGTCCACCAGGTGCCTGCCACTCGAAGCTCGAGGCTCGGGGGGACTGAAACCTGCGGTGCCCTGGCGGCTATTTTTTCTTGACCCAGGCCCCCATACCGTGGGATGGTTGCCAAAAACCCCATAGGCTCCGAGGGATTCCGGTGGGTTTCCAGAGGCAAGATGGATGTCTGTTGGTTTTTTGGAGGGTACCCAATTTTGGTCTTTTCAAAGGGACACGGAAAGGAAAACCGAAATCCATTTGTGGGGAGAAGGCTCCATTGAAAAGGGACACCAGGCAATCAATTTCTTGCCACCCATTAAGAATCCACATGGCAAATGGCGATCGGGGCACCTGGAAACTGGCTGCGCATCTGGGTCGAGTTCTGAAGTCGTCCAGGGCGCTGTGGCCGAAAAAAAATTACCGCGGAATTTTCTCATGGGTCTCTGAAGGGTGGCGCAGCGAAACTCGCCACCATCAGGGAACCTTCCAAAGCCGAGGGGATCAAGGCCGGGAGGCCTCCTGGAACAGGGATCCGGATGCATACACCTGAGCATCGCAACTTGTGAATGGTGGGTTTCCCATTCATCTTGGTGTGGAAAAATCCACATGGCTCAAATGGTGGCAAAATGAAGATTCCTTTTAAGGAGCCCTGTTGAACACCGAGCAACAGTGGGGGGGTCCATGTCCAATAGGACACGCCCGACCATTGTCAAACCGGCGATTCTGAGACGGAAAAAAAATGCCAGGGACACAGCATTAGAATGGCAGCCCTAGTTTGAAAGAGCCGAAGGGCAGCCATGAGTTGTTTCCTCCTTTGAAGCCGAGAAAGAGCGAAGTACTGGTTTAGAGTCGGAAGCCCGCAAAAGGTTCTCTTTGAGATTTCTCAGCGACCCCTTTGTGCTGGGTTGCTATTTTAAAAATATAAATGCAAGGTTCTATTTATTTAAAATCAACAAACAATTATATATATATATATAACACACACACACACCATGCAACCCCTTCTGCTGAAGCCGGCACCACGCACTGCAAGAATGTCGTGTTCTCGCTTCGCCTGGAGTACTGCAGCCCCTCGCCCTTGTCCACCAGACTGCCGAAGCTTCGCCCGAGGCTTCCGATGGCTTTGCCTGGATCGATCTGGGCTGGGGGTGGTCGTGCTGGGTGGCTCCGATTCTGCGGATGGTCGAAATCGAAATCAACGCCAATCGCATCACAAAAGGGAAAAAATAGGTTGAAGCCATTTGTCGGCATTTATGTGGGGGAATCGAAGCATTCCAGGGTTTGTGAACGTTGGTGCAGGATTTCGTCCATCCACAGTATGAGTCTCCTTGATGTTTGCTTGAAAACCCTAGGGTTCAACCCCCCATGAAAAGAATGGCAAGGACCCAATGCCAATCTAGATGATGAAACTCCTTCGGCAAATGATGGTGATAATAACCCCCATTGTGTTTGCGGTTTCAACCCCAGCCTTCTCCTATTCCTAAAAGGGAAGGTTCCTTTATGCCGGTTCCAGCAAACCCCCGGTGGAAACCCCTCAAAACCATCAGGGCTCCCAGACAAACAAAGAATCACAACATGTGATTGAGGTTCCCGTAAACTGGTCGGTGTCGGTTCAAAATCCGTGAAACCATCCGTGACCTTCCAAGGAGTCTCTCATAGGAAACACTGCAAAGCCCAGACTCTTTATGGGGGGTACAGAGTTGGGTGGATCCATATCCATCAAAAGAACCCACCTCTTTACCATCACCAAATCCATCAAACCGTCATCCATCAACCTAAGTCCAAAATTTGTGCAACTCATTACTTTTGTGTCAAAGGGCACTTGTTCCACAGTTCAACAACGTCACCCCAAAGCATCCCCTCCCAAAGCTCCAACTTCCGCCCGCTCTTTTTCCACGGCTCCACCGCTTCCGGGGCTCAACGCCGGCTGCCCAACTAGCGCTAGCGCCAAAGGCCCACGGATCTCGCGGCTCCTTCGCTCGTCTCGCGACCGGGCGCGGCCTCAGAGCTCAGGCTTGGGGGGGTTGGAGGCCGTGTTCAGGTCAAAGAAGTTGAAGGGCTGCAGCGAGAAGGACACCCCGAAGTTGGAGACCAGTGGGATGTCCTCCTGCCGCACGATGTGCTCCTGGCCAAAAAAAAAAAAAACTGAAGGGATCATAGGACTTGGGCAAAAAGATGCCCCATCTACAAGTATATAGCCACTACTGGCCGTGTCCCACATTCAGAACCGGTTTCTATCAATGGACCCTGAGAATGGCCGGTGCTCTCGACACCTTGCCTTTCAGCACCGCCCAGCTATGGGACATCGAGTCCTAGCTCCAGTAGAGAGCTTAAAATTAGGGGACCAACTTTTTTCTCTTGTCCATTTTTAGTAGGGGAACCTTCCCAACCAAAAAAGTGGGTGAGAAAATTGGCACCGATCGCTGGACCTGGCGCCTCTAACCTCGCACATGGAAAAGCTGCGCGCGCAGAATCCTTGTTCAAGCCGATCCAGGCTACCAGATCTTCATCGAGGATCGATTCCTGAAGCTGCGTGTTTTTTGGACTCTGGGCATGCCAGACATGGACCTTTTCGGGGGGGCGTTTGCACGAAACCCCCCCAAAAAAAAAACCTGTTGAAGGGATCCTGAATTCGCACACGGCAAATTTGTGCGTTTTTTTCTTTTTCGGGGCTAACACGAAACCAAAATAGCCAACCTTTTGAAGGAATCCCGAAAATTCGCCCACGGCAAATTCGCGCTCCGTTGCAACTTGGCCGCATTGTTCGAGAGGAAGATGTCCAAATCCTGGACATACTCGCCGGTCAATGGCTGAAGGCCGTCAAAGTTCCTTGGGAAATGAACGGTTATGCAAATGCTTGAAGGAGACTGCAAGCACGGAGTCTATGCTCTGCTCACTTCTGCCAAGCAGCACATAGGGCGAGGAAGGACGGTATTCGTTGTCCTGTGCGAGCCATCAGCTACTCAACTCAAGCCAGCAGATGTGCATATGGTTCATACAAATAGAAAGCCGGTTACACGTCGCTGGATACGATGCCACATCGTGGGTATCATTCGATTATATTCAAGATCATTGGATACTTGAGGAGCGGGTGAACGAAAGCTAGCAGTTGTTGCATGAGATGGGTCGGTGACAGAGTGGATTCAGAGGTAGCTTGTGTACAACGAGAGGCCCGGCAAGATTCGTAGGATGCGACACGCGAACGCACATGGTGGCGTGGCAAACCTTGAAAAATGAACAACGAGAGGCGTCAGAAGCTGTCTCAAAGCACCTCTGGGTTCTGCATGCTGCGTGTGCAAAGATTCTTGCGAGGTGGTTTACCGAGAAGACTGAGGTCTCAAATGAACAAGCTGAATCGGTGGAACATGTAAAAGTTCGTAGCACCAAGTCCAAAACGGGCAAACCGAGACTGCTGAACACTGAGCCACTGCCTGGGGGATGGACCAGGGAGGAATCGAGCCTGAGACCGGGGGGGGGGGGAGGGGGGGGGGGTCTAAATGATTGATGTTTTTCAATCTTTTCGGCTCAAATAATTGAAAAAATCAATCTTTCGGCATTTGAGCCCCTTACCTTGCTTACGCAAGGAGAAACTTCAGCTAGCTAAAGCTAGCTTTCGTGATTATTGGATGTCAACTGGTATCTTTGAGAAATCGTTGGATACTGTGGGATATCAGTGGATGTCATTGGGTATCATTGGATACTGTGGGACATCATAGGATATCATGGGATGTCATCTTTGGACATCATTGGATATCATTGGATATCATTGGATATCATTGCCCATCTGGGTTTCATTGAAGATCATTGGACGCCATTGGATATCATCGGGTATCATTGGTATCATTGGTATCATCGGGTATCATCGAGCATCATCATTGTAAAGATCATCGGATATCATCGGTTGTCATCGGTTGTCATCGGTTGTCATCTGATGTATTAGGTATCATTGGACATCATTGGGCATCATCATGACAGGATCGCGAGGCTTGCATCTGCCAGCCAATCCCTTGCGATGCAGCTGAAGTCACAGTGGTTGATTTGCTGTGGCATGCTCTGTTTTTGCATATGGGAAGTCTTGGATGTCTTCATCCAACCATCCTGCTCCGCTGTCAGGCTTGGCAGACTGCAAACGAAAGGACACATCAACGTCTGACTTGGGCACCTCAGATCGTCAAAGTCGGCCACAACGGGGCGAAGCAAAAGCAACATGATCGGCTTGTGGAAACCAGGGTGTCCATGACTCACTGGCTGAGTAGATGGCCCAAAAAAGTCCAAACTTTATAACCACCAAAATGGTCTTCCCAAAAAGTTTAAAGTTCATGAACTCCGGAAGTGAGAAATGAGGCCCCGCCATATTGTGACATTCTCATGGCCCCCCCAAGGGGGAAAACCCTAGGGATCGAGATGCAGCCAGATGTTGTGAGGGCCTTCCCTCCTTCTTTTGGAGGCTGTTCGCCGACCGCAACGCAAATGACAAGCCGATGGTTGGAAGGGGGGCCAAGGAGCTAGGGGTATCCAAAGTTGCTTTTAAAGAGGGAGCTAAGGAGCTACCGATCGGCCTTTTTGCAAACAAGCCTCAAAATGGGCTGACCCGGAATCACGCAGGAGGGCTTTTTGGGTGCTTCCCCCCACAAAATTCGATCCAAGATCCTCTCGCAATAAAACCCGCTGAGCCTGATACTTCGTCACCGCGAGGTGGTACTTCGTCCAGGGCATGGCCCGCACGAAGGGGTGGGACGGCGAGTGCACCTCCGAATACGCGGAAGCGAAGCGCGCCGATCCGTCCACGAACCACGGGTGCTCCGTGGGCAAAAAAAAGCCCAGCGCGCCGGAGTTCGGTTACCTGGGCTTCAAAGAGCAAACCAGGGGGTTTCAACGATAGCGCTTAGATCGACATGATACCCTGAAAAAAGAGGGTCTTTGGAGGGGGTAGAGTTCATGGTTCTCATTGAAGCGATGGGGGTGGCAAATTCGTCAGATCAAAGGACATCGCCCGTGCTCTCGCTGCTCTTTTTGCTGCCTCGGGTCTGGCAATCGAGGTTGCCTGCAGCTGAACGCTGCCAAGAGTAAGAGAGTCGCGGCCTCCAGCCGACTCACAAGATTCCACACTGAGGTGAGGCGTTGTCAACCCGCTTGCGTGCCTGAGCACACCAACCGTTCTTTCGGAGTTCTCCCAGCATTGGGAATTGTGTACAGTGTACAGGTTGGGGATGGATTTTGATAGATGCGTATCACCCGTCAAACCCGCCGAATTCACAAACCAGCTCTTGGCCGATTCGATGGCACTCCTTCCAGGAATCCAAGGTCCAAAAGTCCCTGCCCTGCCGCTCAAGGGTGAACTTCTCGTAGAGGACATCGATGAGCATCAGGGCCTGCTGCATGTTCACGATCAGGCACGCCCGTCTCCAGGGCTTTCCGGCGGATCTTATAGCCAGGCGTCTGGCCGGCCGAATCCCGCGAGGAAGGCGTGCAAATCACCAACTGCACGGTCTTCTCCGTGATGGCGGACACGGCGCCCTCGGCGCTTTTGGCCAGAGGCGTGACGCAAATGGCGCTGTTGTTGGCGTTGCGCTGGGTCTTGCTGGCCTCCAAGAAGGAGGCAGTGCCATGGGTGGCGAAGATCTTGAAGCCCATCTCGTCCAAGAGCGGCAGGTACTTCGCCACGGCGGCCTTGTCCTTGGGGTTCAGCGCCAGCAGCACGCCGCAGGGCTCGAAGATCTTGGAGATCTGCACGCCGCTGGCGATCAAAGACTTCAGGAAGGCCTCGTGGGCGTTGTGCCCGAAGCAGGCCACCTCGCCCGTGCTCTGCATCTCCACGCCCAGGTGCGGGTCCGCGCCGCTCAGCCGCAGGAAGGAGAACATGGGTGCCTTGCAGGCCACGAACTCAAAGTCGTAGGCGTAGCTCCTGCTCCAGCATCACGCGCGTGGCCTGCTCGATGAAGTTCACGTTGAAGGTCTTGGAGACAAAGGGCACGGTGCGAGAAGCCCGCACGTTGCACTTGATGACTTTCACGGACCTCAGGGAGAAGCAAGAGTCTTCCAGCGCCATGAACTGCACGTTGAAGGGCCCGGAGATGTTCAGAACCTTGCAGAGCTGGCGATGTGCATCACTCGCCGGTGGGTTTCCAAATGCAGGCGCTGGGCCGGCAGCAAGAGGGTGGCGTCGCCGCTGTGGGTCCCCGCGTCCTCCACATGCTCGGAGATGGCGTAGTTGATCACCTGGCCGTGGGTCAAAACCAATGGTACCATTTTGGGGTAGGTGAATTCACCACCCATTTTAGAACCTATTCTAGTAACTAGTAGTTGGATTGAAATGTTCACTGGGGGTACGGTTCGGATTTTGACCCATGGCCGCCTGGCCATTGCGGCCGACGCCGTCGAACTCGATCTTTCGGGCGCCCTGCACGTACTTGGAGATGACCACGGGGAACTCCCTCTCCACCATGGACCGGTCCTGCCACTTGGCTGGCATATGATGCCAAAGGTTGTTCATCACTGCAAGCTGCGCTGGCGTCCGCTGCAGGAAATTTGGCCCAATCCAATCGGTGATGACGAACACACCTGAGGGCTTCAAGGCCTTGGAGATCTCTTCAGCAACGTGTTCGATGCGCTCGAAGTGATGATATGCGTGTTGAATGTAAATCACATCAAACGCCCCTTCCTCCAAATGGATCTCATTCACATCCATGACATGGTAGGTTACAGGAATCTCTGGGTTTGGCTGAAACTCCAAAAACTTTTGATACATCCCCTCTGCAGTGTCGTATGCCTCGATACTGTCCACCCCGAATGATTTCAGCATTGGGTACTCGCCCGCCATGGGCCCGCATCCCAGCGTCAATCCACGCCTCTTTCCAGACTTTTCCCCAAGCAATGAACGTGCCAGGGTTCCCACATCTGCAACTTTATGGAGCTCATGCTGAAAATGTTGGATGCTTGTCCAGGAAATTCGCCATTGCAAGCGATCATCATGCTTTCCCCACAACGCAGCCTCCTCTTGCGCTTTGTGCTCGGAAGCCACGCTTTGGCTTAACGAAGATGTCTCTTCTCTAGTGGGCTCTGCACGGTCGATGTTGGCCGCCGCCGTGCCCAGGATGCGGATGCCCAGCTGGTCCAGCTTCGCCAACCAGGGGATACGTCAAAACCAGGATCTGACCCGCAAAGGAAGGGTCCATGAGGGATTCGGGGTAGCCCATCATGGGCGTTGCAAAGACCACCTCGCCCGCAATGGACCGCTTGGCCCCGAGGTTGTAGCCGCGCCAGCACTCGCCGGAGTCCAACCGAAGCTCTGCAGGTGTCTGAGCTGCCCACTCCCAGCAGGCGAACTCGTCCAGCTTCTTCGTTGGCCGGACGAGCTGCAGAGGAACCGGCGGTGCTTGCTGCATCTTTGGGTCAGAAGTCGCTAAGCCCGAATGTTTCAAGGACCAAGGCAGGTCGATTTGCTTGCCAAAACGGCTGCGAGCACAAGCTGGACCTACGGCTCCTAAGACCTGCCAGCTCCCAAGCCCCCCCCCCCCCCCAAACCTTCAACTGACCTTGGACAACTTCTGTGCATCCCTAAGACCTGCCAGCTCCAAACTTCCCCCCCCCCAAACAAAAAAAAAAAACGTCAGCTGACCTCCTTGGAGTGTCCGACACTTCCCGCGCCTGTGAGGTAGAGAAAGACATCAGGTCGATGCGGTAGCCCCGGGGGTTGGGTTTGCCGCTGGGGGTGCTGGAGGCGTTCCGGTTCACGATGGCCCAGGCCTTCGGCACCTGGGGCCACCGGCACCGGCTTGCAAGTCCCAGAGGTTTGGGGCATGGGATGGAAAAAATGGGGGGGGAGGGGGCGGGGGGTTGGGAGGGGGGGGGTGTAAAACCTACCGAAGGGGACCCCCCAGTTGGATAAAATCCCCTCAACCGACCAATTCACATAATATGTTTTCATCATTTCATAACAGAACCTCAACTCAAGATTTGATACATAAATTTTGTAAATATTTTTTCTAAATTTTCAAAAATATTATTTTACAAAATTATCATTTTTCCGAAGAAATATAAATCATAAATTTTACAATATTCTTATTGTAAAGTTCATGGTTAAAATTTAAATCATATTATTTCATAATTTGAATAATTGCAGAATTCCTCACGGAATATGCTGAAATGAAATAATTTTCCAGAAAGGGTAATTCACCTACAATTTGAAAAACTTTGTCCTTCACTTCCTCCATTTCCTTTTTGACCTCTGGTGCTACTGGAGGTTTTGAATTTTCAATTTCATTAGGTTTTTCTTCCTCAACTGTTGTTTTTACTTTATTCTCATTCTCAATATGCTTCAACGTTTTCAAATGCTTGGATATTGCAGATTTCCTCACTTTACACTGGCAAATATCACATTCTATTTCAATCTGATTACGCACTTTACTATATTCCTTTTCTTTTCCTTCCTATCAATTTTACTTTGTTCTCGGCAGTAATCACAAATATGCACTCTAACATTAAATAGGTCAGGTGGATAAGTGTTTTCACATCGCCTACATTTTTGCATTTTGTCAGTCATCTCCATGCTACTATTGATAGGTGGCATGTCTTTAAGACCAGACCATCTTAAAAATCCAAAATCCCAAATTCCCAAAATATATTTTTCCAAAATCCCAAAATATAAAATCCCCAAATTTTCAAACATAAATCTTACAATGTTTTTTTATTGTAAGGTTTATGGGTTAATTTAATAGTCAGGCAATATTAATGGAGGAGGACATGACCTGCCACCCAAAAGGGGGGCAGCCAGCCACACAAAAGGGGGGCAGCCAGCCACACAAAAGGGGGGCAGCCAGCCACACAAAAGGGGGGCAGCCAGCCACACAAAAGGGGGGCAGCCAGCCACACAAAAGGGGGGCAGCCAGCCACACAAAAGGGGGGCAGCAACTAAATGACATTTTCCTCGAGTTTCAAGCACAACCCCAACTCAAATTCCTTAATCCACCAAACTCGTCAAAATCTCACAAATCAATTCAGCAGGTATTTTGTATAAATCGTCCTGCTTATGTATTACATAATTATCCCCAGAACCACTGCCTGAAAATAATTCTAATAAATTCATATTATTAGAATTATTCAGATATTTATTATATTAATTCGTATTTTCCTTCTTCGTTCTTAAACAGTTTATAAAATTCAATAGTTTCTGTTTTTGGAGATTTAATTTTGTTCTTATTTAACATATCCATATATTGCTTTTGCTTATCTTGAAAACTGCCAGACGGCCTTCCTATTTGTTTCTTTTCAAAGATTTTGTCAATCTTTTCCTTCTCTTCATTGCTATTTTTTGATTCGTTTGCCTTTGCATCAAGTTTCTCGTCAATAGTTTTTACAAGTAAGGTCCGGCAGAGCCGGGGGGCGGAAGTTTCAAAGCAGTGAACAACTATAGTTTGGAGAACTGTCCTTGGCCCCTTGCTTCTCTCTCTCTCTCTCTTTTTCTCTCTTTCTCTCTTTCTCTCTTTCTCTTTCTCTTTCTCTTTCTCTTTCTGTTTCTCTGTCTCTTTCTCTCTCTCTCTCTCTCTCTCTTTCTCTCTCTCTCTCTCTCTCTTTCTCTCTCTCTCTCTCTCTCTCTCTCTCTCTCTTTCTTCTCTTTCCCTTTCCAAAGCTCCCAACGAGCGCTTCAAGTTCAACTCTCCTCCCTCCCCCCCGAGAGCGCCTTTTCTTTGCGTCTGCCCAAGCCGTGCTGTAGTCTGGGCTGGAGCACGCGGCCCGAAACGGCACGCGTGTCAAGCGCAAAAGCTAGGCTTTTCTCTTCGTCTGCTTCAGCGGTGCAGCAGTCCGCGCGAGCGCGCGGCCCGACGCGGCACGCGCCGACACGAACGCGCGGCCCGAAACGGCACGCGCGTCATCAAGCACGAAAGCTGGGCGAGGTCAAAGCCTCTTTTACTCTGGCAACCTTAGTCAACGGAGTCATTGCCATGGCGTCTTCCTGAAGACGCTTGATCTCAAGGCTGGGCTGGGAGTCCAAGGAAAGCTGCCACGCCCGACGGCGGGCAAACGGCTCGATATCTCCGTCCGCAGCCGGAAACTGGAAGATCACCTGCCAGTGACGCAAGGAAGGCTCGCCGTCCGTGCTGTCGCGCGATGGCCAAGCTGTCTCTGACGCTGACCACCCACATGAGGTCCGCGCGGATATCTGGCTGCGTGGCGTCTGCGCGCTCGAAGATGATTCGCACTCCGCGCTCGGCTTCGTTGCACTCCTGCACAGGATCTTTGGCCGTCACTCGCAGTAAGAGCTCCGCGTACTGGACTGGCAGATCCTCACCTGCCGTAATTTGCCCTGCGTCATCCAAGTTCGCGTCTGACAAGTAGATGCATGGGCAGCCCGGGAGTGAGGCGGCCGCGCGCAAGCACAGGAGTGGCTTTGCTGAGCCCGAGTAGGTAAGCGGAGCCTCGCGAACATGCACCACTTGCAAGGTGTTGCGCGCGGCGCGAGAGCCAGTCGGTCCAGAGTACGCTTCGTCGTGCGCCACGACGAAGCGCACAGCCCACTTGCGGGCTCGGATCTCGTGCTCCGCATTCTCTCGCGACTGTACCGCGTCGCCCGGCCGAAACGCCAAGGCAGCACGCAGCACTTCGTCGACGCACTTGGTAAAGATCCTCGCGTCCAGCGTGGCCGTGTGATCCCACACAGTAGCCTCCAGGCTGTAGCACGGCCGGACGCCAGCTTCGTCGTGTTTGTCGCAAGTCTTGCGAAAGCAAGTGGCGCAGCCTGTGTAGTGCCAAGAGTCTTCCGGCACCCGGGACAAGGTCTGCAGGTGAGCCAGCGTGCAGAACGGTGCCTCCCACACGTCCTCGTGAGAGAACTTCTTCGCTTCGGCCGCCGGCAAAAAAGCGCCGAGCGTCGCCAGCGAGACCAAAGTCGCCGGTCCGGCGCCGTAGTCTCGCGCGGCAGCGCCGCCAGCGCGCAGGGATAGTGTCTTGCAGCGCTCGCGGCCAGCTATGTTGGCTCGGCACGCGCCGACACGAACGCGCGGCCCGAAACGGCACGCGCGTCATCAAGCACGAAAGCTGGGCGAGGTCAAAGCCTCTTTTACTCTGGCAACCTTAGTCAACGGAGTCATTGCCATGGCGTCTTCCTGAAGACGCTTGATCTCAAGGCTGGGCTGGGAGTCCAAGGAAAGCTGCCACGCCCGACGGCGGGCAAACGGCTCGATATCTCCGTCCGCAGCCGGAAACTGGAAGATCACCTGCCAGTGACGCAAGGAAGGCTCGCCGTCCGTGTCGAACAGAACATGAGGCTTTGCAACCACCCGCAACAGCGTGTCAGGCCGCTGTCGCGCGATGGCCAAGCTGTCTCTGACGCTGACCACCCACATGAGGTCCGCGCGGATATCTGGCTGCGTGGCGTCTGCGCACTCGAAGATGATTCGCACTCCGCGCTCGGCTTCGTTGCACTCCTGCACAGGATCTTTGGCCGTCACTGCAGTAAGAGCTCCGCGTACTGGACTGGCAGATCCTCACCTGCCGTAATTTGCCCTGCGTCATCCAAATTCGCGTCTGACAAGGAGATGCATGGGCAGCCCGGGAGTGAGGCGGCCGCGCGCAAGCACAGGAGTGGCTTTGCTGAGCCCGAGTAGGTAAGCGGAGCCTCGCGAACATGCACCACTTGCAACGTGTTGCGCGCGGCGCGAGAGCCAGTCGGTCCAGAGTACGCTTCGTCGTGCGCCACGACGAAGCGCACAGCCCACTTGCGGGCTCGGATCTCGTGCTCCGCATTCTCTCGCGACTGTACCGCGTCGCCCGGCCGAAACGCCAAGGCAGCACGCAGCACTTCGTCGACGCACTTGGTAAAGATCCTCGCGTCCAGCGTGGCCGTGTGATCCCACACAGTAGCCTCCAGGCTGTAGCACGGCCGGACGCCAGCTTCGTCGTGTTTGTCGCAAGTCTTGCGAAAGCAAGTGGCGCAGCCTGTGTAGTGCCAAGAGTCTTCCGGCACCCGGGACAAGGTCTGCAGGTGAGCCAGCGTGCAGAACGGTGCCTCCCACACGTCCTCGTGAGAGAACTTCTTCGCTTCGGCCGCCGGCAAAAAAGCGCCGAGCGTCGCCAGCGAGACCAAAGTCGCCGGTCCGGCGCCGTATCTCTTTATCTTTCTTGATTTCTATTTTTCTATCTCTTTATCTCTTTTTTCTTTCTATCTATTTATCTCTCTATCTCTTTTTCTATCTCTATTTATCTATCTATCTATCTATCTATCTATTTATGTATGTATCTATCCATCTGTCTCTCCTCTACCTATCTATCTATCTCTATATCTCACTATGTATTCCTCTGTCTACTTATCTATCTATGTCTCTCTCTATCTGTCTATCTCTCTATCTATCTATTTCTCTATCTCATTATCTCACGTGTATTTCTCCATCTTTTTATCTCTTTATCTATTTATTTATATTTATAATTATCTATAGATCTACCTATCTATCAATCTCTCTATCTACCTCTCTATCTCCTATCTATCTATCTACCTCTCTATTTATTTATCTCTCTATCTCTTTATCTATCTAGCTAGTTATTTGTCTATCTATCTACAAATCTATCTATCTCTGTCTATCTCTGTTTCTCTATCTCTTTCTATCTATCTCTCTAGCTATCTCTATATCTGTTTATTGATCTATCTATCTACCCATCTTTCTCTGCACTTAAAAGTTGCGATGTTCAATCCCCGAAAGTTGACTTCGCGTACTACTTTCGTACTTAAAAGTTGCGATTTTCGAGCCCCAGCTGCGAAACTG